GTAACATATACAATTAATAGTTAGGAGAGAAATACACAGTCTAAGTTAATTTACAATAGTATTTATAGTAGGTGTCGTGGTTTACGTAGAGTGGGTTTTTAAAATCGCTGTAGTTCAGTTTTAAAACTTTTTAAAGTTTGGGCATGTCTTATGTTCTCTGGTAAGGTATTCCATTCGACTGAGGCTTGGTATATAAATCTTTGCTTGCCCCAGTTGGTTCTCACTTTAGGAAGATGGATATTATTTCTCCCTCTAGTATCATGGTTATGAAAAGTACTGTTCCGTCTAAGATTAATATCATAATTAATTTCATAATTTAAATATTTATACATTGTAACAATGCGGTGAAGCCGTCTACGCGTGATGAGGGATTGCCAATTCTAGAGATTAAGAGCTTCACTCGCCGAGCTATGTTTTGGTCTATCCAGGATAACTTTCGCAGCTCTGTTCTGAAGAATTTGCAGATTTGCCATCAAGGTGTCATTATTCTTGTCTCCCCAAATTATATCAGCATAGTCAAACAAAGGGGCAATTAAGCTCATATATAGCGTTTTTCTTGTTTCCAGTGTTAAAAGATACTTAACCCTCTGCAGTACTCCAATCCTCTGACGAATCTTTCTGGTAATTTCGTCAACATGGTCGGCCCATGTTAAGTGCTGATGTATGACAACGCCTAAATATTTAAAATACTCCACTCTTTCCAGTTGAACTTCATTTACACAGATAGTCAGATCTTGAACATTTTGATATTTTGATGAACGACTGCTACCAAACAATATAAACTTTGACTTGGAGGTATTTAAAGTTATTTAAAGTTAGATGGTTATCAAAGGCTAATTTCCACTCCGGAAAACGAGCAGCGGATCGGATCAGATTTTTTTCCCAGCTGATCTGATCCATGAAGTGATTTTGGATCGGATCAAAAAAAGTTAAAACTATTTGAACTTTTTTTTATCCGGTCTCGGACTCTTTCGGATCAATATAAGCCAAAAATTTCAACAGACGGCGAACGCGCGGATTATCTTTCGTTCCAACCTGATCTGATCCGCTGCTCGTTTTCCGGAGTGGAAATTAGCCTTAATGAACAGCTTGGGTAAATACTGGATAGATTTGGTTAAATGTTTTTTTATGCCAATTGTTGAACATTTGTCAACACGTATGATCATATCAGCCCACTGACACCAGATATTAAAACGATTGAGAAGCATTTGATTCTTCCTCTCTTGGCTACTAATAACTGCAGCATTATCTGCAAACTGGAACCAATGGACTGGGTTACATGGAATGCCAAATTGGCTTAGTTTCCAAAATCCAAGCTGAGGATATTTTTCGGATTTGATGTGCTGTATAAACATATTGAATGACATATTGAATAGTAAAGGACTGAGACAATCCCCTTGAAGAACTCCTTGACTGATTGTGGTAAATGAGGTGTTGAAATGTTCAGTTATTATAGAAGTTTGAAAATCAGTGTATATATATATATATATATTACAAGATATTGGTAGTAAGAGTCTTAATCAAGATATTTCCAGAATTCAGCAGAATTAAATTGCACATATCTGAGGAATACTCATTCATGAACATTCTCTTTTGGCAGCTCTTTAATATCTTCCATCTTGAAGAACTGAAGCAGTGCTTCAATGAGGTAACAGTGACCAACACTCATTAAGAACTGCTCACAATGTTCGTAGTGCTTGATGTCAACTGTTACATTTCTTCTGTTGAGCACTTCCCGGAAGTATCTCAATGTGCCATGTTCCCTGCTTGAGTTTTTGTACAACCGTCACATGCTCCAGCAAACATCACTCTTGTTAACTTGTCGCCAAAACAAGGAACGTTAAATCCTTGAATTGGATCAGAATTTTGAGTTGAAGGTGGGATGTGGGATCTCGGTTGATCTGGTCGTGTTGGAACTTCTACCAAGGGATGGGAAGCACATGCTTGGTCTAGCTGATCTTTACACTTGCCTTGTATATCTTGTGTGTCCACTCTTCCAGCTGGTCAAGAACCTCAACACACAATCGCTATACTTTTTCTCATCTTTCATTAGTACAGGCATAGTAATAATTTCTGACTTACAAAATGCTGTATCAGAATGATCCTTTTCTCCATCATGATGAAAGTGATGAAGAAAAGAAGGCCCATGTTCTAGAAGTGCTGGACAAGTTTGTTCAACTGATATTGATGACAACAGTACAGACTCTTTAAATGACGACAGCACTACCTAAATTGCTGTTTTTAATTATGCTCTCAACCTACTAAAGTCATTTATGGTCCTTCTTGATTGCAAGGATGCTGTAGCTTCTGGAAATAGTGAGCATTTGGCCACAATCCAGAAACAGATGTTATTCCATTTCTCATTTGTTTCTGGATATAATGTTTATGCCATTGAGATGCTTATATTTATCATCCAGAATGAAGTCTTGCTATCACCTCAAGAAGCACATCAGTGTAAGTGGGCAAGCTTTGGCTAACTGGAATGGAGGTAGAGACAAAAACATAGAGATTGATTTATTGCAGGAAAACCGGAATGCAGATCTCAAAGGCTAGCATATTCCTAGCGTTAAAATCAAATTTGCTGCAAGTGGAAGCAATATAATATAAATGTATGGTGAAACATGAATTATACATATTTTTAAATAATGTTTAAAAGTTAATTTAGTTTTTATACATATTTTAATATCTTTTACTTTTCTTGTCATTGAACTGTTTGAACATTCTTTAAGGCCCTGTTACACGATGCAATTTTTCTTGCAACTTGCAATGCAATTCTACTTTTAAGAGATGTAAATTTCCCAACTACAAAACGTTTATGTTTATTGCACTCAATGTACGTTTCTTACACTAACATTTTGAATACTCTGCACTAATTTACATCTCTTTGAAGTAGGATTGCATTGCAAGTTGCAAGAAAAATCGCAGCATGTAACATGACCTTTAAGGCCCAATGATTTTTTAATAGATTCTCTATCACTTGCTGTAGCAGTCATGGCAACTACAGGTACACTTGGAAACATTGCACATAACACAATTAAATTTTGATCCCTGAAATTACAGATGTAGTTTTAGTAAGCACAACACTTTCCAAGTGGTATGGAAGTAGACATATTGTTTGAGAAAACAAGAACTTTTGATCTATGAATACTTTGGGGGTAATTTTAACAAACAAAATCCTCTAAGAAAAATTAATGGGAACATTGGAATAACTTTCTATGAATAAATCAAAAGGGGTCTACAACGCAAGGTATTCCCAAGAGGTCACCCATTCCAAGTACTAAATACGCCTGACTTGTTTTAACTTCGGTGATCAGACGAGAACTGGTTCTTTCCAAGTGGTATGGATGTAAACGTCTTATTTGAGAAAACAAGAGCTTTTGATGTATGAATATTTTTGGGGAAAGTTAAACCAAAATATTTTTCTTTGGCAAATTGAGAACATTGGAATAATTTTCTATGGATAAATCAAAAGGGGTCTACGACACGAAGTATTCAACCATCCAATGACTAAATTCAGCTGAATTAGTGGTCAACCATCCAACTACTAAATTCAGCTGAATTGTTTTAACTTTGGTGATAAGGGAAATTAATAACCCTTTTGCATCGAATATGACACTGACAAGGAATATTTCACACTCCCCATATCACTAGAGAAGGCAGACGACGTTTGTATAAGACTAAATAATTTTATTAAAAGCGGCCAAATTCCAAAGGATAAAATATTTTACAAGTATCTTGATCCTATCTCGTATGCTATGATCGACCCAAATCATGAATATGATAAACAAGTCATCGAGTTTTTTAAGACTATTAAATTTCTTGGTGGAGAAAAAACTGTGAACTTTATTCGAGGACCTATGTGGCATGGATGTGGCAGTGGTAGAGTTTTCAATCTGGAGAATGCTAAGTTAAACCTCGGAGGACCTGGTCAAACAACAAGATTAAAACATTCATCAGGATATACTACATCAAGTGGCATAATTCAGGCCTGGATCATCGATACCTTTGTGAAACTTGTGTTAGACCCCTCAGTTGGTGTGAGCGAATGACAGCTTTAAAACCTTTGATTCAATTCGACGAGAAACAACAGTTAAACGTTGGTTTGAAGATGACAGCTGATATTGAATTTGTGAAGTCTAATCCAGTCCCAAAATCTGAATTGCTGAAAGAGAATGTGGTTACTGAAATGCTACTTTTTTGTCAACGACAGATAATAGGGTTGCTATGCCAGTTGGTGTCACTTACAAACCCAAGGCAGGGAAAACTGGACCTGACATGAAAGAACAATTTCTTAATGAAGTTGAAGTTGTGGAGACCTGCCATCATTGTATCATTGTATCAAGACAAATGCTTCATCATGGCATATTTTTGATAATGCTGCCACAATGATTTGTAGAAGTGCTTGCCCAGTTTGCATAGGGGCCACCTCTGTCTGTGATGACTGTTATGGTAAAGGGCAAATTAGTCACCATCTCTTCATGGTTGCCAACGTTGCCTTGAAGCCGATATCCAGTGTGTTCGAATTATGGTTCTCGTTTTGGCATCTGATTGCGAATCTGGCAACAAAGGGACTTGACCAGAACAAACACATATTCGTAGCTTTTCATAAATATAATTTTCAAGTCCACAATTATCCACAATATTCTTCACTACACAATTCCTATAAAGGAATCATATCAAATGTTACCAATCATCAATCTTCATCATTGCCACCATCTCATTTTCAAAAGGCACCCTCCAACAACCCTACAATGAGGGCATAGCCATCTCCACAGGATCCGAATACCTGCAACTACATATAAAATAAAAATATTGACTAAAAACAGTAATATGCTAACTAACCTATCTATAATAAAATTTTCAAATTTAAATTGTACTTAGTAATCTACCCACCAAATTCATATTTATAAAAGCTACAAAGGCCTGCGATGTTAAAAGATATACAAATGTTAATTATTCAATATATAATGCCAGTGTATTATGCTTGTATCGTTTTCACCCTATGAAAATGTCCCGTAAATTTTCTTGCAATCCTCAAGAAACACTTCAAATAGGTCTTCGTTTTTATGTTTGTATCTCCAGAGGAACTCGGCGAGATACGAAGAAAAGGTGTATTTCCGGATGCTGAATGGAGGAAACTTTGCTTTTGCTTGACGCCAATGTCCTTCAATCTTGTTTGTATGGTCTCCTTCTCTGTTTACAAACTCCTTCGAATGGTTGACTGTCAAATGTGTGTAACCATGTTCTTCTAAATTACTATACGCCTTCCAACAATCAGATATGATGGTTGTGCCCTTTTCAATAAATGTTTTGATAATCGGAAGCAGCGTTGCTTCACTCCTGTCCTCAACAGCCATCATAAAACTTTTCCAACTGCCCTCTTCAATCCCGCCAAACACCCATTGGCCTTCCACCCTATGACCTCTGTGATATTTTCGCTTCCCAAATTTGCTTTCATCTATTTGCACACGCTTACCAGGACCGCCAATTTTTTCTTCACACTCTAAGTAATTTACCTCGCATATTTCCCTACAAAAACTGTCCCAATCTACAACCGTATTACCACTAACATCAGTCTCAAACCTCATTGTCTCCTGCACAACATCTCTACACCACCAGTATTTCAACTTCAGAATCTCTTCTAAAGTTAAATTGCTGCCTTCAAACCAACTTCCCTTACGAATTGCCAATTCAACCTTATGCCTTTTTCCTTCACTCTGCCTTCTACATTCACACTTACAACCGTCCGACCTATCACTACAGTCAACTAACTTCATCTCACCGTCGCACAAAGGGCACAAGCGAATTTTAGCAATTAGCTTCCTTTCCATTAGCCAATCGATAACACGCCGTTTGCTTACAAGGACTTCATCTTTCAGCCTGTCGTATGTCCACCTTCCATTCGAGTCTTTCTTCTTGCGCTTGTAGCTTCCATCGCTTTCTCCGCATTGAGTTCCAGTACTTACATTTTGAAACAAGGACAACTGCGTTTGGACTTCTACACTTGCTTTTTTTCTTCGATACTTGAACAGCGACATCGCGTTATTTCGCTCGACTGTTCATTTTGCTGCTTAAAGATGCAATTTGCTTACTTGTTCTGCTCGCTTTCTACGGCCTAATGAATAACTGTTTCCTCTTGTCATAAGCCATAACTAGTTTAGCCCCTCCCAATAGTGCTAATAATCGACTCTCATATTATGTGTCTTTAAATTCCTTTTTAAAATTATATTAAAAGTTCAATTTCCTATTTATCATACATTACCATCGCATATCATCTTTTACCCATGCACATAGGTTGATTTTAAGGATATTATTACATTTTACGCATATTACATTCACAAAAATACAATGTTTCACATTATTTTTATTCATGTCATACAGGGATTACGCGCTGTCTCATTTTACCGTTTATACCGCATATCATGATTAGTTAACTTTTTTCTATTTTGTCAAATATTCTAAGCAACTATAAATAAAAGTTAATTGAAAAGCGAACTGATTCTTTTGTTATTAATGCACAGAATTACTCTCAATACAAAAGTTTTGTGACCTAAATAATCACCTCATTATTGCATGTCACTTCTCACTTAACTGTCAATCAATCCCTTGTGAGTCCCCTCACCTAACTTTACAAGCCAATGATTTCTAAACAGACTGATTATAAACTAATAAATAACACCATAAACTAAAAGCTATCTTTTATTTTGATAATAAATTCATATAATTTCTCTCAGTACAAAGTTCATTTCTCATTCATGGTATTACTCAAGTATTACACGCTATCTCAGTTTACTATGAATACAGCACCTCATGACTGCCACTTCCTCTATAACTGTCAGTCAGTCCTGCGATGACAACCATTTCCGCATAGCTTACGTAGGTCTTGTAATAACCGAACCGTGCATCATTAATAATATATATGACACAAATATATGCCTCGTTTTTAAAAAATCTGCATTATATATAACCTAAATACCACATGTATATAATATTCTTTGTTCTTAAAAAACTGCATTTTACAAATCACGGCATGCAGACACTTGAGATAAAAGTTGAGCTGAATGTCACTCGGGGCTGGTGGCTGAGCTGTTTCCACAAGTGTGCGGTGTCGTATTCTGTGTTTTCTGGCACGCGTGCTTTCAGCGTCGGATATTCAACATGTTAAAGATTTTTGTGCAGCAGTGAACATTTCCTCCTCACAGTGGTACCACTGATGCCATGCAATTAACAGTAGTAGGTTCGAAAATTTCAGGCGCATTCGCATCAACTGTTAAGGCTCCCTAGTGGGCACCCTAACACAATCTGCGACGCAAAATGTGTTTTAGGCTTGGGGTTTAGCCTAATAATAACTTTAATAAAAGGTATTTTATCGTAAATATTAACTAATTTTTGGACTTGAACATCGGGGACACTATTCGCGGCAGAGTAACTAAAGGAGATGCTATATCCGTGGTCAGATATGTGTAACACATGCTATATATACGATTTTTTCTCCTTCTAAAAAACTGCGCTTATTTATACTATTATGTTAATGCCTCGGATCATAAATTTAGCTCACATATCAATGCTATATGACTTGTACTCTTCGTTTTAAAAAAAACTCTGCAGAATATGCACATAGCGATTGTCACCGTTGAATTTGGTAAAATTTAAAAAGGCTTTTTGCCGCAATTCTCCAATCTTTAGCCTCAAACTTGGTCAAAAAACATTCATAAATAATAAACAAAATATGTCTTGGACAACATTTTTTTTCACTGTTTAGCGCCGTTTCCCTGACATGGATTTCCTGACACTAAAAAATTTATAGCTGCGAGAAATGCTAATCACACATCATGCACACAGATACATGCACATCGGATACTCACACCTCCGTTTGGATTACACAATTCACAAACTGTCAAACTTGCGTCTGTTTAACGATGCCACGCTCTTGTTTCATATTTCCACACACCGCTCTGAACTGGTCACATCTACAATTGTGCTCTTATAAAATAAATAGTTATGGCAGGCAATCCTTTGACTAAAGTTTCAAGGCAACATGAAAGGACTTGGACAGCTCTTCAGAGACGCATTTCGGGTATTGCCTACGACTATACCAATCTCTTCAGTCTTGACATAGAGCGTTTTATAAAGAATAAAGTTATTTTGCTTGGAAGCTCAATTGGTTACTTTGTGCCAACTCTTAACAACAACCGCATTTATCCTTGCAAAGAACGAAGCCGCAGTTAAAATCCGGAACCACGAACAAAAACCAAATATTTTTACCATGTTCGTCGGCTATCTGGGGACTGGAAAATCAGCAGCAGTGGACCATGGGGCGACAACACCTATCTTGGCAGTCACGAAACCAGATGACGATCTACTTATAGGTAGAGCGACTTCTTCTGCCCTGGTTAAGCAGATAGCAGATAACGGCAAAGCGTACGTTGTGTCATCAGAAATATATGACATGCTCAATAAACTGTTAAAGTCAGATGATGAAACTGCCAGTGGCGACGTCCAATTGCTATGTAAACTATTTTCTGGAGAACGAGTCACTTAGCACTACAGCACGGAAAAGACGCGTGAAATACCTGCAAAAACTCCTTTCTCAATTCTAGGCTGCACGCAAATACAAAACGCAGCAAAACTTATTGCACGAATGGACCAAGGCCATGGACTTATTGACCGCTTTTTCATATCTATTCCTTTGGTTCTACGTCCTACACCACAACAGCAGGCTGATGCTAACGATTATATTGAGACAGAGCCGATCGATAGCTTCCTTGAGATATTCAACGCGATAAATGACATTCATGAACAGCACGCCTACAACTATACCTTTGACAACGACGCGCAATGACAGTTTCAGGACATGAACACATCATTCGCCGCTGAAGTCAATGCGGCTATCCTTGAAGGACAAATGCCTCCTAAGTCAAAGAAGTCTGACCACGTACCACGAATCGCCCTTGAGACATGTGTTCACCCATGCCACAGAAATAATACTTCATGGCCAAGACGTGCAAGATTTTCCAACTGAGATCAGCAAGGAAACACTTGACCGCGCAATTGCTTTGGTAAATCATTTGGAACAACAACAGGACGCCATCTCCCAGGTAAATCGTATCGTAAATACCTTAAATAATACTAACGTTTTATTGCTAAAACATAATTGTAAAAGGCTAGCTGTATGCAAACCTTGACAAATCATCTCAATTAATCTTTTAGTTTATTCAATCCATAACAAATGACGTTTGCGACAAGGTGAGGCATCAACCCACACAATTTGATATAAAGATAGCAATACTGTCCTTTTCCGGTCCTGTCTTAACATACAGGGTTTTCAAACAATCCGCGTCGCCTTCTTCTCTTCGACTGGTAACCGCAACTGAATTCGATAATGCCCTGCAACAGTTGTGTCAACAGTATGGCACATTAGTCGTCGCAAGAGTGGCAAGAGCTCCAAAACCAACAATGGTTTTCGTAAAGAAAATCCCTACCTCAGTCGACTCCTGGCATTCTGATGCTTTTGTAACGCGGGAGATTTACGAACAGAAGTATAGCCGCCCATGCCACACGGCTATCTCAAACCACATAAAGCGATTGCTAGTCAACCAGGGTATGCTATCGGAAGAACAAGCAAATGCATGATCGATGTAGGTTCGAAATGAGTATATCCTTGGCATGTATATTGTCTATATACTTCAACGTAAAAACGACACAAGTTAATTCCTGAGAAGTGAGTTTCTGAATTTGCCGAATGTACTTGCATGTAGCCACTAACAAGACCAATGTTATATGAACACGTTTCACGTTTGTTATGCAAGATTTTATGCAGTGGCGAATCTAGGGATACTCAGAATAAATTACTTCAGCCTAAAATCGAATTACATTGCTAGATTTTTATTCAAAAATATTATTTTGAAACATATAACAAATAGCGTTGATATTAAGGTTTTTTTTAATTCAACTGTGTAATTTATTCAGACTGCTTCGAGATCCGCCACATATTTCATCACTTGTAAATAGTTTGTTATAGAGTAATTTAAATGTTATGGTCTTGTTTAAATTTCTCACTCACATTGACATTACATCATTATTTTCACTTCGTATCATCATATCATTGAAAAAATATACCTTGCCCAGTCGTATTAAAATTTCTCACTCACATTGACATTACGTCATTATTTTCATTTCTTATCATCGTATCATTGAAAAAATATACCTTGCCCAGTCTTATTAAAATTTCTCACTTACATTCACATTACGTCATTATTTTCACTTCGTATCATTGTATCATCGTAGTATCATTGAAAAAATATACCTTGCCCAGTCTTATTAAAATTGCTCCCTCACATTAAATTTCGTGTTAATTTATTTTTAGTTGATATAGTTACTTAACTTAGTTCATTTCTTGCTAATGCATTTTTGCTAATGGGTTAGTGTTTAAGCATTATGTGTCACGACATCTAACATGACGTATTATTCTGACTTTGTATCATCGTATCGTGATAACAGGTAATGCTCGCCCGGTGGCCGGATATTCTATAATCGCTCCCAACTTTGGTTGTGCAGTGATTAAAGCACTCAGCTTTCAACTGTTAATCTTAGGTTCATTAACAAAACTTTGTGTTTCATGTGAAGTCAACATACTGCCAAGAGTCATAGATTTCATCTAGCATGGAAGTAGACTGGGTGAGATACATTCATTCCAATACATGAAAAAATAGGAACATAGTATTGCAATTTTCACAAAAAAATTTACCAGACTTAGCATGTTGCACGAGCATGTCCATTTAAATTTTTTATATCCACATGTGAGAAATGTACCTTCCCCAAATCAGAACCATTCTCTAACAATCCCTAATATCATGTTATATACATTTATACCATGATTATCATTAACCAATGGGTCAACCAACATAAAGAGTTTCACTGGCGATATAGTTTGCGCTTTTCAAGAAAAAAATGCGGGGGCGGTGCGTTGTGTATGGCTGTAGCAACTGGGCGAGTTTTTCTCAAAATATTTTACGTTATGGGAAGATCCAAGTAAAAT